TCAGGGACTCGGACTGCTGCCCCTGGAGTCCAACGCGGCGAAGGCCACCGCGGAGAACCAGTACCACGAGCTGGTGACTCTATGGAGGCCCAGCGCACGCGACCTCGGCGAGCCGCTCGGCGAGGCTGCCGAGGTGGACGCCTCAGTGGCGCGGCAGCTTCGAGACTTCTTCGACCAGGGCGAGAACGTCAGCAAGGGCGAGAAGCTCGTGGCTGGTCTGGAGCACTTCCTGCCAGAGTTTGGCCGACATGGAGGGCTTCACCTCTCACGGAGCTACCGCGCCCTACAGGGCTGGAGGCGCCGGTGCCCACCTCGGTCACGTCGCCCCCTCGCATTCTGCATCTGGGCGGCGATCATCTGGGAGTTCTGCCGGGACAACCTCTGGAACATGGCGGTCTACACTCTGTTTATGCTGGTGACGTACATGCGGCCGTCGGAGCCGCCGAAGCTGCTGAAGGAGGACCTGCTCGCCCCCGCCCACGGCCTCTCTGCCTCATGAATCTGCTTCGCTTTTCGCCGAGAGCGGGGTCAGTCTTCAAAGACCTACGCCACGGACGAGAGCATCGAGCTCAGTTGCCAGTGGGCCCCTTTCCTTGCGACCGCGGTGACTGCCCTCAAGCGTGGCCGCCCGAAAGAGAAGGTTTTCAGTTTCCTCTACAGCTCGTGCACGCGCCAGTTCAGGACAGTGCGTCGACGGCTCGGACTAGTTGCGGCGCCATATCAGGCAAGGCACTCAGGCGCCTCCATCGACGCCGCACTGAAGTACAGGACGAGAGCCGAGATAAAGGCTCGCGGCCGATGGAAGGCGGACAAGTCAGTGCTCAGGTACGACAGCAAGGCCAAGATAGTCGAGAGCGTCGACAAGCTGCCCGACTCGTTGGCGTCTCACGTCAGAATGTGCGAACTCCGACTCGGGGACCTTTTGTGCGGTCAGATCGACCCCTCGGCCATCGCACTGCCCGACATCCCGAGCTCGGCCCCAAAGAAGCGACACCGTACCTAGCCGACCTGTTTGGAGGCGCAGGGGGTGTTGGGCGAGCCGCGGGGCGATGCGGCATTCGTGCTAGGCTGTGGGATATTTCAGTTTCTAAGTCTTTGGATCTGACGGATCTGAAGAATATCGATTTGCTTCGCTCAGAGGCTGCGGCAGGACGAATTGTTGCTGTCATGATAGCCATTGAGTGTCGGTCTTGGGGCATCGCTCGCCACAGGACGAATGTAATTCGATCTCGAGAGGAGCCCTGGGGCGTTGCCAGACCAGTCAAGCCTTTCTCGGATAACGACACCAAAGCTCTACAGAGTGGTAACCTCTAGGCCCGACGAGTTCTCCGAATACTTAGAACTATACATTTCTTGGGTATCCCTTGGGCTATTGAGAACCCTCATGCAAGTCTCCTGTGGCACACCCCAGAGCTCAAATACTTCGAAAGGGACTCGAAGGTGCATGTGAAGATAGTTAACCAATGTGCTTTTGGAACTGCCTGGCGCAAGCGCACTCGTGTGATGTTCGGAAACTGCGACGAGATAGATGTCTCCCTGTGTGATCAGTACGTTTGTGCCGGCCCAGGTGTGTGCCAGTTTTCAAAGAAACGTCGCGTCGAACTCGAAGGACGAAACATGAGTTCGAAAGCCCAGGTTTACCCACCCAGGTTTTCCCACCTCCTGGCCAAGATCTTGCGCAGCGGTTATGTGTATAGCCGCGCTGTCTATCCATCAACTCGCAAGCTCACATCCACTTGGGAGGACGATTCGGGAGACGAGGCAGTCAGTTGTTCAGGAGTATAGACTCCAAAGCCTTGCCGTTCCGAGAAAGCCAGCGCGCGATGACGGTGGCTGAGTTGATGAGACACAAAGCTGACAAAAAGAGAGCGCAGGTCCCTCATGTTAGCGCGAAGTATGCCTGCAGACGGGCGCGGGATTGAGGGGCCCAACGAGATCGACTTCTCTATTCTATCATTCCATTATACTATTGCTCAAGTCTCCCGCCCCCCTCTCCCTCTCGCTTCTGTGCCGATCTCGTTTTTGACCTACGTCGCCTCCTGAGACGAGGCAGTCAGTTGTTCAGGAGTATAGACTCCAAAGCCTTGCCGTTCCGAGAGAGCCAGCGCGCGATGACGGTGGCTGAGTTGATGAGACACAAAGCTGACAAAAAGAGAGTGCAGGTCCCTCATGTTTTTTTTGTGCCGTGCTCCTTCGCTCTTCTAGCCTAGTCTGCCATGCTCCTGGCCAGTTTCTGTCACAATCCTTTGTTATTGGGGCTTATGATGCCGTGCTCCTGGTCATTTTCTGCCGTGCTTCTTCGCACTTGGGGCATCTTCTGCCGTGCTCCTTCGCTTTCGGGGTTGATTCTGCCGTGCTCCCTGTGTTTTTCTTGCATACTCCTTCCTTGGGGCGTAGTATGCTGTATTATTGCATCTATCTTGCCGTGCTCCTTAGCTCTCGCGGTCTATTCTGCCGTGCTCCTGGTCACTGGTCGTGTTTTGCAATGTTTTTTTTTTTCCTGGCGCCTATTCTGTCGTGCTCCTCAGCTCTTGGGGGTCTATTCTGCCGTGCTCATGCTTTTTTTGTTGCCGTCATGCTCCTTCGCTCTTCTGCCGTGCTCCTCAGCTCTTGGGGTCTATTCAGCCGTGTTCTTTGTTTTGTTTTTCTGCCGTGCTCCTTCGCTCATGGAGCCTATTCTGCGGTGCTCCGGGTTTTTGTTTCTGCCGTGCTCCTTAGCTCTGGGGTCTGTTCTGCCGTGGTCCTGGTCTTTTCCTGCCGTGCCCCTGAGCTCTGGGGGTCTATTCTGCCGTGTTCCTGGTCATTTTCCGCCGTGCTTCTTCGCACTTGGGGCATCTTCTGCCGTGCTCCTTGTCTCTTCGGGCATATTCTGCCGTGCTCCTGGTCTTTTCTGTCGTACTCCTTGGCTCCTCGGGCCTTTTCTGCTGTGTTTCGGTCTTTTCTGCCGTCGTCCTTAGCTCTTGGGGCATCTTCTGCCGTGCTCCTGGTCTTTTTCTGGCGTCTTTTTCGCTCTTGGGGCATATTATGCAGTGCTCCTTAGCTCTTGGGGTTCATTATGCCGTGCTCCTTTTTTTTTTTTCTCTGCCGTGCTCGGCAGGTCTTGGAGTCTATTCTGCCATGCTCCTGGTTTGTTTCCGACGTGCTCCTCCGCTCATGGGGCCGATTCTGCTGCGTTCCTGGTCTTTGTCAGCCGTGGTCCTGTTTTTTTTTTCTGCCGTGTTCCTTCGCACTTGGGGCATATTCTGCCGTGCTCCTTGTCTCTTGGGTTCTAGTATGCGGTGCTCCTCGTTTTTTTCTGGCTTGCTCCTTCGCTCTTGGGGCCTCTTTTCCCGCACTCCTTCAGCTCTCGGTGTCTACTCTGGCGTGCTTCTGTTTTTTGTTTTTTTTTTCTGCCGTGCTCCTTCGCTCTTGGGGCCTATTCTGCCGTGCTCCTGGTCATTCTCTGCCGTGCTCGTTAGCTTCTGGGGTCTATCCTGCCGTGCTCCTCGTCTTTGTCTGCCGTACTCCTTCGCACTTGAGGCATACCCAGCCCTGCTCCTTAGCTCCTGGGGTCTATTATGCCGTGCTCCTGGTCTTTTTCTGCCGTGCTCCTTCGCTCTTGGGGTCTATCCTGCCGTGCTCATTTTTTTTCTGCCGTGCTCCTTCGCTCTTGGGGCCTATTCTGCCGTGCTCCTGGTCATTCTCTGCCGTGCTCGTTAGCTTTTGGGGTCTATCCTGCCGTGCTCCTCGTCTTTGTCTGCCGTACTCCTTCGCACTTGAGGCATATCCAGCCCTGCTCCTTAGCTCCTGGGGCCTATTCTGCCGTGCTCATGGTCTTTTTCTGCCGTGCTCCTTCGCTCTTGGGGCCTAACCTGCCGTGCTCCTGGTCTTTTTTCTGCCTGCTCCTTAGCTCTTGAGGTATATTCAGCCGTGCTCCTGGTCATTTTCTGCCGTGCTCCTTAGCTAATGGGGTGTATTCTGCCGAACTAATTTGCTCTTGGGGTCTATTATGCCGTGTTCCTTGTCTTTCTTTGCCGTGCCCCTTCGCTCTTGGGGCCTATTCTGCCGTGCTCCTCATCTTTTTCTGCCGTGTGCGCCCAGAAGCTCTGCCAAAACGACCACCGCGACGATCCGCACGGCAGATACAGGAACACGGCATAACACACAGAGCACGCAGAGGCACGGCAGAACACAGAAGCACGGCAGAACAGGAGCACGGCAGAACACACAGGAGCACAGCAAAACACACCCCGCACGCACGCCGACACGCGCGCCACGGCATACTTGCGCGGCATAACAACAACAGAGCGTTTTCCACATGCTTGGTGGACTAAAGCGACGCTTCCCGTTCTTGTCCGGTCAGGTTTCCCCGCTCGAAGCTGGCGCATTCGATTGTTCCCGGGCCCATTCGCTCCCTTTGGTGCAGCAAAGTGACTGCGGATCGGGATCAGAGGTCGTGTTCGGGCGGGGCTAGGACCAGGATTGATTGTTCCAGAGCCTTCAGGAACGCTTTGAGAACGTTCTAGGGCGCTCTGGAACGACTGCGACGCCCGATAAATCTTCCAGAACCGCCAGATCTCAGAAATCTCCGAATTTTCCTGGTCCGATGTTGTTCTTGTCCTTGCATCGTCTTATCACAGTCTGTGTCTGGCCAGCGTTCGGTTTGGCCGATTCCCTCCAGGTGGTGCCTGGGAGGCACGGGTGCTGACCTGATTCACCGTGTGGCCCTGTGGCGGCCGTTCCGCGGCTCGGGCGGCGCCAGTGGAGCACTCAAGCCGTTCCTTCGGAGCTCAGTGCTGCCGAGACGAAGAGCAACAAATGGCATAAACATAATTTCTCTGAGCTCCGCACAGATGTCTCGGATCGGCGTTGGGCCCCCCTCGCGGCCCCTCTGGCGCCGCCCCGGGCGCGCTCCGCCGCCAGGGACGGGTGCCCCGCGCAGATCCAGGGAATCCGCGCGGACCTCCGAGAGATCACGTTGACGCCGTTCTCGTTCCTCTCGCTCCTGCTTCCCAGCGGAGGTGGTGGAGGAGTCCGTCGACGAGCTGGGCGGGCGCTCGCTGATGGCGAGGCACGCGCGGCCTCCTCCCGCGGGCGGGGAACATCTCCGCATCCGCGGCCTCGCTGGCCGGGCCCCCGGGCCGCGTCCCCGCAAACACGGGGCGTGTTTGTTCGAGGATGCCCCGCACGGAACCTGTCCGTGCGGCCGCGTAGATTTTCGCGGGTCGCGCCCCGAGATCCAGGTCGCGAGCTCGCGGATACGGACATGGTCGCCATTCGTGAAGGGGGGTGGGGGGCGCCGCCGAGCCACCGTGCGCAACCTGTCTCTCGCAGAGGCAGGCAAAGACGCCCCACGCCAGAGCCCAGAATCGAGAAACGAGGATCGAGACTCTTGGAGGCCTTTGCCTTGTCGTAGCCCTGGCCTTTTCCTCGATATGTTCGCCGCTCGTGATCTTCTGCGAGCTCCGTCTGGCCTGCGCGCGCGCCCTCGGCCAGAGAGCAGCCGCCGTTCGCCGCCGCGGGCACGGATATGCGATGGCGCGGATACGGATAAGTTCGCCGTTCATGAACGGCCGGCCACAATGGTTGTGTACAGATGCCCTCTGCCCTCACGTCAGCCGATTTGATTTTTGTTCCGTTTCCTCCAGGGGTAGCCGTTCGTTCCGGTTCCAATTTTCGAAGGAGAGAACATGGTATAAACATGAGCGTTTGACGGTCCGTTCGGATTTCTTGGATCTGCGCTGGACCCCCCTCCCTGGCGCGCGCAAGGGTCGGCCCTGGAGGCGCCGCCAGCATCCGCGCGGACCATCACGTTTTTATGTATGCTGCTCTGTCTCCATCCAGTGTCCGATGGGCCCGGAATCCGAACCGCGAGGGCTTGGATTCGGATGTGTTCGCCGCTCGTGAGCTCCTGCGAGTTCCGCCCGGCCTGCCCGCGCACCCTCGGCCGGGGAGCGGCCGTTTCTCGCCGCCGCGAGCATTTGTCCCCCACGCTGGGGCCAGGTGTGGGGGGGGAGTCAGCACGAGGGAGGTCAGGGGCAAGGCCTACCCGAGGAAGAAACAACTGCACAAGCACAAACTGTCGTCCGTCCGCGCGGATTTCTCGGATCGGCGTTGGGTCCCCTTGGCGGCGCCTCCGGCGCCGCCGCGCGGACCTCGAAAGTTGTTGCTTATGCAGTTGCTTCTTTTTTATTGAAGCTATACGCGCCCATTAACTAGAACCTAATGGAGATCCTATCTGGGACCCCTCGGTCGCTCCAGACGTCAAGCAGACAATATGGAAGAAACTTTGGACGGATCCAGAAGGCAAGGAGCACCCTACTTCTCGGGATTGGTGAGCTGTTTTTCGGCAAGAAGCGTTCGATCGCGTGCCAGACCTGCATGGGTCTCAAGGTCCCCAGGTGCTTTCAGCTTGCCAGTGGATCGCCTCACAGGGATAGCGTGTTCGGGGGAGTTTTTATTTCGAAGGCCTTACGGCCAGTGCCGCCGACCCTGAAGACGACGAAGATGAAACTGAGGGGGGAGGAGGAGGAAGAGGAGGAGTTGGAAGAGGAGTTGGAGGAGGAGGAGGAAGGGTGTAGGAGGGGCCTTCTGACAGCTTCTTTGGGGCGCCAGGCTCGAATTGTGGTTTCGGGCTCCCCGTCTTGAGTCCGTCTGAAGGCCCTCTTGGGGGCAGTCTTGGGAATCTCTTGGGCCGTCTGGTCGCCCTCTTGGGCCGTCTTGGGCGACCGTTGGGAGCTTATTGAGCCGTCTTGGGACTGTCTTTGGGGCGTCTTGCACCGAAGTGACCGCGATGAAGGCCGAAATGTCGTACATGTTGAAAGTTACGTTTTCGTATGGGTAATCCATGGGTGTGGCATGTTGGGGCTTCTTGGGGGTGCTCTTGGAGGCTCCCTGGGACGTCTAGGAGGCTTCTTGGACCGCCTCGGGGCCATCTGAGGCGTATTGAGGCGATCGTGGAGCGAGTCGGGGTTCTCTTGGCCGTATTGTGCGCAGTATGTGGCATTTTGGGCTCATTCTAGGACTGTTGGAGGTGTCCGGGCCGCCGGGAGGAAAACGAATCTGGGTGGCGAGCCCCCCCCCGGACCCCCCCCCTACCCTCCCTGGGACCCCCCCCCCGCGCGGGGAAGGGATCAAAGGGAAGGGGCTTCCCTTCGAGTCTACAACGGCGTTAGAGGAGGGCCCAGGGAAAGAGAGGAGGGACGGCGGAAACGGCGAGGAGACGACTGACGACGACGGAGACGACGAGGAGACGACGACGACGACGACTCGAACGAGGAAGCCCCTCGCACACGTCGACAGGGTCGGCGGCTTTGGGGAGGATGGCTTGCTTTTCGGAGATCTGTGTTGCACTCCTACCTTTGCGACGCCAACCGTAGGGGGGGGAGATGGGCTCCAGTCGGGCCAGACGTCAGGAGCAAGGGCAGGGAGAGGTGCAAGCTCAGGGGCGAGGAGGTCGATAGATTTCAAAAATCCTCGGAAGTTTTCGAGGCCCGGGGTGGTTTCCATCAGCTGCGCCTCGCCAGAGAGCAGACTTATGGCCCCAAGAATCGGGAGCGGGGGGGAGCGGGAGGTCAGGAGCAACGTTAGGCGGGGATAGGCTGAGGGGGGGGGAGGCGCATCGACACCCAATCGCCCATTCGTCGCCGATAGGGGCCCGACAGCCCACCCCGCCGAAGGACGTGCTGATTTGTTATCGTGGGCCTACTGCCGATCTATCCGCGACGTGTCGCCCATTCCAGGTCGATGTTCAACCCCCTGAGCCGGTCCCCCGCTCACGTTGCCCCTGACGAAAGGGGTCCTGTGGAAAACGGGTCCTGAGGATTTTTGTTCACAGGAGGGCCCCACGACTGTCGAAAAACGACCCGCTGGACCAAAAGCTGGTCTGGGGAAAGCCCGCCATGGTCCAACCCATCTCGGAACTCGTTTTCTTCGTGCCCTTGAGGGTGTTCAAGAGGAGGTAGGCCACGCGGCCAGGACAAAAATGGGCCACACTTTGTTGGCGCATCGTGGTTAGATCAGTTGTGCCCTCGGCGGTTTCAAACTGCTTTGCTTTTTTTCCTGTGTCGTGCGTGCGTCTTCGGATGGTCCAGGGCGGAGCCCCAATTCAAAGATCAAGAGGAGGTCTGCTAGAGGTCAGGAAGACCTCCTCCAGAGGGTCGGGCGTTGCGCAATGGGGGGCGATTAATGGGCGGGGGGGGAGAAGGTGCACCCTTCGTGCACCTTGGGGGCTCTCTGGGTCCCAACGGGGGCACGAAAGGTGCACATGTCTTCGCCCCCCCCCCCCCACGCATCGCCCCCCCCCCATTACGCAACGCCCAACAGGGGAGGTCTCCTGGGCCACACCTCGACCTGGAGGGGCCCCTCCGCAGCAGCCCTGGCTCCAGGGGCGGGCGGCCTCTTGCCGGGCCCGCGGCCTTGATCGGCCGGCACCCGCGCGGCTTGCCGACGCAGGCGGGATTGAAATGGCCCCTGAGTCAAAGAGGAGCTCAGAGTTGGCGACGGCTGGGGGTCTGAGGTTGCCCAGCACTGGTTCCTGCCAGCAGGAACGGGGGGCAGGTTCGAGGTTCTGGGTTCGGGAAGGTTGTTTAGTTATCTTTTTCGGCTTCCAGGGGGGGAAGCTTTCGGACCCCGGGACCGTCAAAAACGGATCCGACCCCGGGACCGTCAAAAACGGATCCGGGACGAAAACTTGCACCGCCGGATGGACCCCGGGAGGGGTCAGGGGCCGATTTTGAATAGAAGTGGTCTTACCCTTCCCTTCTGACCGATATTCTGGGGCCCCAACCAGGTAGCAGTAAGGCATGCACGGAGGGGGGGGAGGGGTCGCCGCCGGACCTCGGAGAGCCAAGTGCCTCGGCGGGGCGGCAGTTGCATCACGAGTGGCCCCAGGCCTCCCAAGAGTCGGCCCAGAACGACCGCATCGCCGATTCATCGGCGATGCGGCTCGATGTGGGGCCCGATTTTCTTCACGCCGGCGGTGCCGATGCATCGCCGACGTCGCCGATGCACCGGTGATGCGGCGCGATCCTCCGACCCCATGCGCAATCAAGACGCTGAAGTATTGGCCATTTTCGATTCAGGAGGGGCTTTGGTTTTCGGGCCGTTCCTCAGATCGGGCCCCAAAGGCCTTTTCGTTCATTGGACAATGTTCGGCATGGCAGCACGATGACTGTATTGTGACCCACCCGGGAGGCCTCGTTATACATTCCAAGATCCCTCATATTTACAAGTCTCGGTGCGATCGAAGTGGGTGCGGAAAGAAGGATGGGGCAGATTGACAGCAATTCTTGTCCATTGCGGACAGGATTGGTTGTCGGTGTCGCCGCGCACGTTGTCCATTTGAGGCAAAATGTCGCCTGCTCAACAGCGGCCGATGTCGGCTTTGGATTACATTTGCCGTTGACCATCGTACCCATTTCTCCCGTACCAATAATTCCGGGCGTGTCCAAACCTGGTCTTTTGCGGGGGCGCGAAGATAATCGAGCGTCGCGGCCTGGGCCAGAGCGTTTGTTTTTCTCGAAGGAGGTGGGGGGAGGGCGCGAGCGCATGAAGACGATCGCGCATCGCAGGGCGCGATGCGCGAAGATGCGTGATAATAATAGAAGACCGTCACGCAGGCCCCCGAGGTGCCCCGAAGGAGTCCCGAAGAGGCCCCCAAGAGGCCCCCGAGGAGCATCCCAAGAGACTCACCCCAGTGTGCATCCACGAGGCCTCTGGACACAACCCACGCATGCTGGCGGGATGGGCCGAAGTCCAGTCCAGAAGCCTTGCGCCAGCCGCAGCCCGTGAGCAATGAGTGAAATAATGTGCACGGAAGCAGATACCTTCAGCACGCCTCCCATGCCTGGACCGTTTGTTCCCACCTGCGAGCTGCACCGCCCTCTCGGCGGAAGTATTCAGCAAGTCGCTCATGGGAGCCGGCGACATTCAAACAATTCTTTAGCACCATGGGCCCCCAAGATTGTCTCGGGCGGCCTCTTTTCCTTTTCCCAAGGAGGCTCTTGAGAACCAAACCGCCCGGCTCAAACACCGAGCTTCTGACTGGATCTTCGTCTTACCTTCTGGCTAAATGGCCCATGTACAGCATCTGTCTGCGCGCGAGGCTATCGCTCAGAGGCATCTGTTGGCAAATCTGCAAAACTCTACGATTCGACACACGACTGATGTACGACGGGGAGATTCTGCAAATTCGTCTGAGACAATAATTCTGGAACCCGTCGAGCCGTCTTCGCTCGGCCTGGTTAAGACACGCAGTGACAAATACATACGTGAATTTGGAAAACACGCAAGGGTTATATATACGCAGCTTCTGTCTTCTACTCAACGTCGAATGCGACCAGATCCTTGCAAGCACCTTGAAATCACTTCTGGCCACCCCAATTCTCCGACTCAGTTCTGTGCCGATGCGCCCGCCCGCAGCAAGAGACGTCCCGAGATAGACTAGCGACTGCTTCGCTGGGATGGGGACATCGTTGCGTCCCAAAATATCTGCTTCAGTCCTCACTTTCATCAGTTCCAATTTGCCCCAATTGAACTGCAACCGGTAATGGCCCCCGCACTCTTCAATGCAGCGCATCAGCTCTTGAACGAGGTCCGGGTCAGAGTCTATGAGTAATGTGTCGTCCGCGTACACCAGCTCCCTCGCAAACCGACTTTCAGGTATCGGTCCGGCACGACTCTGAAGCAGCGCGTGCGCGTCCGTGAGAAGCGTCGTCATCACAGTGGTGAACAAGAATTGGAAAGTGGACAGCCCTGGCATATGCCGTACCTCTGCTGATGCACGCTGGACGTAGCCCCGAAATCCCTCACGACGAACTTGCGCTCGCTGTAAATCGATCTGGCGACGTCCACGAAACCTTCTGGGCAGCCAAATCTCCGCAGCGATCTGGCGAGCGCGTCCGGCGAGACCGAATCGAACGCCGTGGCCCAGTCAAGTGCCAGGAACATGCGACTTGCATCTCGCGTTGACCATGCGTCGTCCAACATCCGGCGTGCGAGGAACATTGCGTCTGCCGTGCCCCTCCCCGAGCGGAACCCGAATTGGGTTCGCCAGATGCGGTCTTCGGCCCCCGCCTGCTTCAGCCTCTGGAGCAGGATGGCCGCGAATTATTTGTAGCCGATGGGAGAGATGCTGATGGGGCGGTAGTCCTCGCAGTCAGAAGGGTCGCCTTTCAGGCACAACATCGACACCCTCGCATGCCTCCAAGCTTCTGGGATCTTCCCCTGTCGCCAGACGTCGGTGTAGAATTTTGCGAGATAGCTCGGGAGACCTCCCGCGTCGCTCGCCGCTGCTTTCCAAAATTCGGGTGGCACCCCGTCAAGACCAGAAGCGCGTCCACGCTTCAATTTCGCAACTGCGGTCTTCACCTCTTCCACTGTGATATCGCCCATGAAGATGGGCAGGTCGCCGTCGGCAATGCGGGCGTCAGCTGACGGTGGCACTGACGTGGATCTGACTGCCCACTGCACCCTCTCGAGGTAGTCGGCCAGAGTCTCAGCGCGCTGGTCCGTGTCCACCATGCCGTTGTTGACGTCACGAAGCCTGCCCTGTTTGTGGACAGGGCCTTTCCATAGCCTCCGAATCTGGCTCCAATCAGCGGGTTCCGTGACCGATTCAATCCAAGCGGCCTTGTCTTTGGCAACCGAGGCGCGGATTTTCTTCGACAAGCGCTTCTCCTCGTCAGTGTCGCCTTGCTTTCTGGCGTTCCCTCGGCTCTCGATCAGCCCCAGCGTTCCTGCACTCGTCCACGGCCGCGTGGTCCGCCTCGGAACGAATGGCAACGTGCGCTCTGCAGCGTGATGAAAACCGTCCACGATACGACTCCACCCCAGATCGACATCCCCGTTTCTTGCTGTTGTGTCCTCGAAACCCTCCAAAGCATTCGACATGTTCACGTTTAAAAAAAAGTGGCGGGTGGGTCGGAGAGGGTTGTGACATCAAGATGTGGTCTCTGACACGCAGGCGCCGTCTTCTCAACTGACATGTGGGCACACGCATTCAACAAGAAATGATGGGTCGACAGCGGCGCGTCGTGCCTAGCAGCCACGCCACGGATGTCACGGAGAAAAGTCCTCTCGCAGAGTACGAAATCGATCTGCGAGTGCGTCGAAGATCCAACTTGTAGCCCAGCAGGCGCACCCACGTTGTAGTTGGTGACAAGGTTGCCAGCCGGCTCGTCGAAAAATGTGTTTGCCACGCACATGCTCAAATTCTCACACACATTTCAACCATGAGGTGCCGGTTGGCGTCTTCCTTGGACGTCTGGAGAGGGTGTTTGAAAATGTAGGGCACCACCGTGTCGTTCTTTCCATCGAGTTGGTCATACAAATTTTGCATTCACGTCTCCTAACGCAAGCTTGGGTCCATGACTGGATCTTGTGGAGATTCGGACAATCTCGCGAAGAATTCAGACCGCCGCTGGAACTCGCACCCGCTGCGCGGCGCGTGGGCAGAGACAATGACAGCTTTACCTCCTGGGATCCGAAGCTTGAGCGATGCCATGCGGTCCGTCGCCTGGCAAAATCCAACAACAGAGCGCCTGAAATTTGGATGCACGATGAAGCCCACTCCCGCCCGCTCACCCTCTGGGTCGCCCACGCCGCCAGACGGAACAACGAGGAAGCCGGAATCCGTGACGTACGTGCAGGATTTCGATGTCCATGTCTCTGTAAGCGGATGATCTTGATATCTAGTTGATCCATTATGATTTCTAGCTCAACTGGTTTCGAAGCAGCATGCCCTTCGATATTCCAAGATGCAACGTTGAATTCGTCAGCCGTGGCAGGGCGTAAACGACCACCCCGAACCGCAGAAAGTGACAACGTGGCTGGGCCAGCTGGATGACCCTATCCTGCAGGTGAAACGTCATTGCTCACGTATTGTTGGCGCCCCTACGCCTACGCGCTGCACTTGACGGCGGCCTTCCGTTTCCCTTTCCCGAGGCCTTTGGAGGGGGTCTTACCGAGCTTGACGTTGAGGTTCGCGACCAAGTCCTGGAAATTGGTGTAGCCGTCCTGCTTGAACCACTCCTCCCAGCCCGTGCCAGAGTCGGTCTCAAACTTGTTGCCCACGATCCTCTCGCTCACCGCCACATCAGCGCCAATCCACAGCGCCATTGTTCAGCCCGCTCCACGAAAATGGACGACGGGCCGAACGACCTCGACTCCTTCGGCCCCCCTCCCCGCCCGGAGGTTCATCGCATCGCTTCGCCAGTGGCCCCGTGCACTCCGGAGGAGGTAGCTGCGCAGCCGCCGACGCTCCAGCAGATCGCGAATCTTTTGAAGCAGAAGGCGCCGCAGCCACTTCGGAAAACGGCGGAGGGCTTAGAGCGCAAAGTGGTTGAGATCGGAGGGGCCACTGAGGAGAGGATGACGGAGGTACAGAGCAATGTGGAGAACATGGACGCGCGCCTGACGCACTTGGAAACCAGTTCGGCGGGTTCCCGGA